TTGAATTAAATTAACTTTTTCAATAAATGGTAAATAAGTAGTGCCTAAAAATTATAAATTTATATTAATAAAGTTAATATATTTTAAATAAATAATATTATTTACCTTGTTTATATTTACTTATACCATAAAAATTAGTGATTACTGTAATTTTTTCATTTCTATATTCATTTAATGATGTTATACCTGGTAAATTACGTGGATTAAAAATGCAAAATGCATTAGTAATTTTATGATCTGAAAAACGTATTTGAAAATTTTCAATTGTTGCTTGTGCAAATTCTTTTATATGTGATGGAATATTATCTGCTGAAAGATTATTTTCATCTAAAAATTGGTACAAATTATTTCTCCATGTAGGTTCTTGATTATTTGTACCTAAAAAATCAGATCTAATTTTTTGAATAACAGTATTAATTTGAATTTTAATCTCATATAAAGATACATAATTGGCTTGAAAAATAAGTGTTAAATGTCGAAGATCACTAAGAATATCTGCTAAGAAATGTGTTGTAAGAAGAAAATTTTGATCAATCATTTTATATAACATTTTTGCAGTTTTTGATTTTATATAATCTTCTTTAAGTGCTTGAACTACTAAACTAATTATATGATGTAAATTAGAAAATACATTTGATAATGAAAGCCATCGTGTTGTTATAATTTTTAATAAATGAAGTTCTGGCTCTTCCAATCTTGCTTCTACCATTTTTAGATGCTCTATTTGTGAATAAGAATTACTAAAATAATTATAAAGACTTCGAACAATATCATTATAATTAACTAAATAAGGAATTGAAGATGCAGCATCTTCACTTGCTAATTCTAAATGATGAGAAATACAATGATATTCTATAAGGTATGGATTTTTTTTTAAATTGTGCAGCAATATCATTATTATATCCTTATTATATTTAAAAAAGTAGTTAAATATATAATATTTGAAATATAAAATATAATTCAATATAATTACCTAATATTACAGATGCACTATCACTTCCTATATTCATTAAACGGTCAATTGGTAAATTTTTTGCTTGCAAAAAAATATTTAATTTATTAACAATTGCATTTGCAGTTCCTTCTTTAAGCTCAATCATTCCTAAATAGCGATAAACTGGAAAGTTATTTGATATATGCTTAGAAACAATTGCAAGATTTTTAGTTATTGTAATTGTATTGCTCTTATCAATCATAATACTCCAAACTGGAGATTTTTGAATTTCTTGACAAATTGTCTCTTCAATAACTCTTCCAATTGCACTAATAAATTCATATGCTAAATGAGTATTAGAGTAACTTCCATAATTAGCACAAGATTCTTCTAATAATTCTAATAGCGAATGATCAAGAACATAAGTTTTTTCAAAAGTATATGTTTCTGCAATATTACTTGTAATATGATATTCAGTTAGTGAAGTAAGTTCAGTAATTTTAGATGTTGTAGTAATATTTTTAGCTAACCAATAAGTATTTATTAAATTTTAAATAACAGGTAAATAACTAACACCAAGTTGTTGAGTAAACCCTATCTCAAGACTAATTTGTAATTGTTCTCGCATTTTTGTTAATTTTTAATGATCTTGAATTTCTATATATCTTTTAATTGATTGCTCCTTAAGATATTCACAACTGGTAACAAAATTATTATTAAATTTTGCAGCTTCACAAAGTTTACAAAATAAAGCATAATTTTTTTCTTTTTGACCTAAATGTAACCAAAGATATGTTACTTCCCAAGTAGGATTCCACTTAAGATTATTTTTTAAAAGTCAAGTAAATTTTGGTTTTGATTCTTCGTTATCACTTGAAAGTATATTGGTTGTAATATCTAAACTAATTACATTATCCGAACTAACAATATCATCAGAACTTGTTATATTTTCAGATATAGAGTCTTTATTCAAAATGCTATCTCTGTACTTTTTAGCATTTATTGCAATAGTAAAAGAGGTTTGTGATAGATCATAAATGTTTTTTTCTTTCTTTTTTTCTTTGGATTTAATTGATTTCATTTTTAAAAAATTTTTTTTGGCAAGTTATTTTTTGAAAGAAAAAAATGTATACTTTTTAAATATATATTATATTAATTAGATCAATTCTAATTATCATTATTATTAATATAAAGAAATTTATATATGCCACAAAGCTAAAATCTGTATCTTTTAGTTTTATGATACTTAAATAATCATGCTATTGTTATGGAATCTAGGAGTTAAATGAACTTTCTTAAAAATAATTAAAGAGATATATAATTATAGTAAGGTATAATTGAAAAAGATTGAAATTAAATAGAATCGAATTAGAACAAGTATACTGATATTATCAAATTACATAAATAGTAAATTAATTTCATGAATAGCTTATTATATAAATATAGTGCTTAAATTTCTTCGTAAATAGTATCATAAATAAATAAATAACCCTTACACATAATATCCAATCTAATGGTAGTTTGTAGACCTGCATTCATTTCATTTGTTTAACTCTTCTTTTTTAACCAAGTCTCTCCTAATAACATTCTCCTTTCTACTACTACACTGGTACTATAATATTTGTAATTAGACAAAATTATTTTACTCAACAGTCAGAAATAAAAGTTTGATCTTTAAGAATTAATCCTTCTATTTATTTATTTTTCACGTGTGCTTATATTATAAATTTGCTATGATTGTTTTATAATAAGCTTTAGACTTTTCTATTGTTTTTCTATGCAATTTTAGTTACACTATTTTATTGATACATTTTATCAATTATTGAGATTATTAGATAATTTTGACAATCTAATCCCAGATTCTTTTAATCACATATGGCTAATAGTATCCTGTGCATATGACCAAGTCATAACAGGTCATATTACTAACGCTAAGTACAATTAGTAAATTCATATGACAATGGTCATATAACTTTACTAATTGAACCTAGTTATATGACCTGTTAATTCATATATATTAATATTAATAATTCGAGATTTTATATAAACTTAAGTCAATATAAAAAAGCACTTGATGATTTTATTTGTATATTGGAGATTGAACCAAATAATAACATTGTGTTAATGAACAAATACTCATTAGATATTAATAGATTGTTGAAGATTAGACCAGATAATTTTCATGCATTAAGTCATAGCAAATCTACAGAATATTAGGTAATTATATATATACACTTTTAGAGTTTATAAACCCAGATAGTATATCAGCATTAACAGAATATAGGTCACTTACTATTATTCATATAAATTTTGTTGAATTTCAATGAAGTACTAAAACTTAATTTAATAATGTGTGGATTAACATTCTGAGCATTAGGTAAATATGAAGCATTTCCAGATATCAATAAATCAAACCAGGTAATATTTGAACATTAAGATGTTAAGTCTTATAGATTGTTAAAGAAATATTGTGAGGATCTATCAAATTTTAGTATAGCACTGAAACTAATTTAATAATTCTTAATAAATGACGAATCATTTGTCATTGACGTTTGACATAACCTTCATCAAGCAATTTCTGATTGACAAATTGACGATTGATGAAACCTATGACGATTAACAAAACTTATGATAATTGATAAAGCATAAGACAATTATTCTTTTATTCTATTAAAGGAATAAATTAGTCAATGCGGAATTAGATATTTATGTTTATATTATTATCAGAGCACTAAAATTTCAGAGATTTCTGCTTATATATAACAATTTCTGTCTTGACTTTTCATTAGTCAGAAAATTGCCGAATATGATATCATTTATATATATGTATATAAATATTAATAAATATTACAATATCATTATTAAAAAACTGCTACATCTGGCTGAGTTTTCTAAGTTCTAGTTAAAATAAACATCGCTAGAAAAAAAGCAGCTTCTGGCATCCAGAAATTTTGTGCCCTGATTATTATATCTACATTAATTTTATTTTTATTGTTATTTTTTTTTTATAACACAAATATCTGAAGAAGACATTAATCACCCAGACGAGTCTGACTAAGAAAACTACTGGTATTAAAAATATATATATTACTGGTAACAGCTTTAAATTCCATGTAATATAGAACTAAAAATTAACATCTGTATAGCTTATTAATTTTTGCATAGCAATTTTTTATTTATAACAACTGAACTAGTAGAACTTTATAATGAAATAATAGTAATTTAAAAAAAAAAAACCTAAGGTTCTGTATATCCAGAGGTGGCTATAAAGAAACTTGTTAAAAAAGAGGTAATATATTTTGATTCATCAAGAGTTTTGTCAATCGCCAAGAGTTTTGTCAATCATCAACATTTCGTCTGATGTCACATCTGATAAAATGTTTCATCAGAAATCATTAAACTAATTCAAATAAAACTTTTGAGGAGCTTGTCAATGAAGTGACAAAGTGAAATCAGATGATTTTAAGGATCACATGTTCACTTTGTCGTTTTAGGATGTTTTGGAATAAATTTTGGGTATTTTGTCATATGCAGATAATTCCTAGGTTTTATTGTAATTGCATATAATTATTTGATATCATGAATTATTATGAGTATTAGTGAACAAGTAATGAGAAGTAAGGGTGAAAAAAGGTAGAGAGAATTATAGTTAGCACAAATTTAATTCTTAGTTAAGAAGAAGTATCTTTTTTTTCACTATCACTTGTCTTATAAAAGGCTGGCTCTGTTGTCTTTTTCTTTCCTTACTCAACAATTTAAGGTGCTAGCTTATTAATCTAAACATCTTCAGTAAGTCATGTTGTGCTTCGTGGCTGCATTTGCAGTGTAAAGATCTTAATTTTTCAGTGCTAATGGGCTCTGCAATTGCAGTGGCAATGCAAGAAGCTTTTTGTTAATACAGTATCCAGGCTAACAGCAGCGCAAGAATCCTTGCATTAGTTACCCTCACCATATAGCTGATTTTCATCATAGCTATATGAATTCTACTTTGCAAAGGCATCTATTATTATTGCAGGTAATAATAACTGATATTAGTTTAGAAGTTAAATAGATTCAATTGTTGAAATACAGTAGCATCAGTTACAAATTATTTAGTTATTTGAATATGAAACCTGTAACGATAATGAACAAAATTTCTATCTTTGTTTTAATAAAGTTATCTAATCGAGAAATAATAATACATTAAGAAATAATGCATAATATAAATAAATATAATAAATTTTTTATAAATAATATTAAGTATGTATAAATAATTTTAAGTAAATAATAA